TGAGAAGTTCAAAGCAAAAACATGGGGGTCACTAACTGGCTCACAAACATAGTTTGTCTTGCAAAGTGGTTTTAAAATACTGGCTCATATTTTGGAGGGATTTCAATAAAAATCAGGATTTCTAGCTTCTGACAAAAAAATAAATAAAAGTTTTGGCAAAACTAAGCCCATCCCTCCAGCACCCCGACAGGGCTGAAACTGAGTAGTTTTGCACCTTTCAGATAGGGTGAGGGGTGTTCATAGCCTTCTGCTTGGCACTCTCCTCTCTCTTATATCACCTGCTTGTCTTCTGTAGGGTTGTGTGTGCGGCCCTTGAGGAGAGTTTTGGAGATTCCAATAGTGCACAGTGCCTTTAGAAATGGTTATAATAAGAGAGATGGATACGATCTGATCTTTGATTTCTTGAAGCAACTTTGGAGGTGAAGGGGGATGGGTGGGCAGGGTGGAGAGGGGACAGTTTGAAAGCAGAGAAAGCAATTAGGACGCTATTGCAACAGTCCAGGAGAAAGACAACAAAGTGTAAAGCTGATCAGTAACAGCAGACTGCTGGAGAGGGTACAGAATCAGAGAATTTTTAGAAGTAGAATCAAAAAGACTTGGAAATGGATTAAATGCCAGTTGTAAGGGAAAATGTGTCAGATATGATTCAGATGTTTCTAGCTTTGGGGACTGTGTGTTGCCATCACCTAAGACATGGAACTCAGAAGAAAGTAAAAGTTTTGGTGAAAAATTAGTTGTGTTTTTTTTATGTGTGACCTCTTTGGATCTGAGGCTTGATCTTAGTTATCTTTGTGTCTCTAGCTTCTAACACATCTCCTGGAAGGGGTTCAATAAATAAATGTTGAATTGGACTCAATTAAGCTTATTGATTGCCAGTTGTTTGTGAGAAGGTCATCCAGGTGGAAATGTCCAGAAGTCAATTTGTCATTTTAGAGCTCAAGAGAAAGTTTAAAGCTGGAATAAATGTGGGTTTGTCAGCATGTTTATTTTCCTGACTGATTTTCATGAGTTGTACTTTATTAAGGCATACTAACTGATAGTATAACTTGATAAAGACATTTATAATTTTGTTTACTTTTATGGTTGCCACATGTGTGCTTAATGTAATCATGAGGAGATATTGGTATTTTCACCTCCTCTCCTGTTCCTATAAGCACTATATATAATCCATAGGAAATTTTTTTTCACTGAGAGGTATTTCTGATAGACTAAAATGACAACAAATCTAACTTCTTACAGGGTCATCAGACAATATGAAAGGACCTCAAGTGATTTAAGTACAAATGCATCAGCTCTATCCTGACTAAAGTTTCAAGTAGCAATTTCAGTTAAAAAAAAATTCAAAGTGATAAAGCAATGTTCTAAACAAAGTGATGTTTTTCACTCAAAGGCAGTGTGTATACAAAATATGTTTCTTAAAAAGACTCAAGTAGATGTTTTCTACCTTTATCTTGCATCTACCTACCACTTCAGCATTTTATTAAAAATAATAATAATAATAATAATAAGGGAGAAATGTGGGATTCACATATAAATCAAGTATAAAAATCAAACGAATATTCATATTTGACCTGATTGTTTATAGTTCATGATGCGTGATCAAAACCAAAAGTTTCTGTGATGACTGCCCTTGCACTGTTCACCATGTAAGAACTTATTCACTATGTAAGAATTTGTTCACCATGTAAGAACTTGTTCGTTATGCTTCAGAAGATTGGAGACTGTTGAGAATTAGGCTTGGGGTTGATTAATGATTGTGCATTGAGTCCCCTATACAGAATTTTATTGTTGTTAACAACCATTTGATCAATAAATATCAGAGATGCCCTCATATTTATGAGAGATCATAAATATGAGAGATGCCAAAAAAAAAAGACTCAAGTAGTTATTGTTTAAATTGCTGAGTTTTTAGTTTAAACTTATTATGCTTAGGGAAAAAAGAAGTATGGTCTCCCTTTTTTAAGTATGCCATTCACATACTCCGTTGGGTTCATCTTTCCTTTAGAAAGCATGTTTCCTTTAAAAAGGTTTAAAAAAGATAAAGGCACACAGCTTTCTTCAGTTTTCTGGGGTGGTCATCTTTCATATTTTCCTGTAGTATGAGCAATTCAAACACTTAAAAGACCTGAAGGGATCCTGACCTCATAACTACCATGTTCCCTGCCTGGAGACACAACAGAGTTATTACTTTGGTGACCACTCTACGGGAAGCCAGCATTACCCAGAGCCCAGCACAAAAACCTTTATGATGGCTCAGAAGAGAAGCGGGAATTCACAGAGCAGTGTTCTTTTCTATTTCTTGGGTTTTTCCCCCCCCCCTCCTTTTACTTTTCATTGATGAAAGCAGAGAATACAAAAAAGAGTGGAATATGATTTCCCCGTGCACCTGTTACCCAGCTACAAAACCCTTCAACTCAGGGCTTTGCTTGTTTTGTCTTATCTGCCATCTGCTTCCTCCCTTCCTCACAACAATGGGAATATTTTGAGGCACATCTTCGCCATTATATTATTTCATTCATAAACATTTCAGTATGTCTTTCAAAAAGATAAGGACTCTTTTTTAAACATAATCAAAATATCATTATCTTTGCCCCCAAAAGAAATATTCTCTGATATCAGCAAATATCCAGATTGTGTTTGAAATTCTCCTATGGCATGATACATGTGTGTTAGTTTGTTTTTACTGCTGAGTTGGCTTGGATATGGCTCCGAACAAGATCCATATATTGCATTTGTTAGATAGGTCTTTTTTCTCTTTTAATTGATAGGTCCTTCCTCCCTCATTTTTTCTACTCGCAATTCATTTGTTAAAGAAACCAGATAATTTATTCCTGCAGAGTTCATCATATTTCAAGATTTTGCTGACTGCATTTCTATCATGTCACTTAACATGTTCCTGTAAACTGTAGTTAGACCTATAAGCATGATTTAATTCAGGTTGAAATTTGGAGTAGTTAGAAGAGGTACATAATATTCAGCTGTCTCTCTTTTAGTAATACTAATGGCCATTGATGATCAACACCTGGGCCCATTATTTCATGAGGGGTTTAAAAAATGGTGATAGTCTATCATTTGTTTGTCATCAATTAGCTGACATAGACTATGGTCAGAAATCTTCATCAGCTTTCCGGTTATCCTGATGACAGGTCATACAGGCAATAGAAGCAAGTGCTTGATTCTTCCCTCTGATTCACTAGTTTTTAGAATTATGAGTTGGTACCCTAGCAGCCACCAAGGTTTTAAAAGTGAGTTTTTCAATTCCAGTTGATATTCATTGATTTCAACATGGTGTGTTTCAGTCTACTTCAATCATTTCCTATTGATACTCAAATTGTTCCTTTTGTGGCTAATAGCCTCTTCAAGTTGGTCCCTATGTCCTTTTGACACAACTCCAATAGTCTATTGATTTCCTTACTCTTTGGTATAACAAGATAGATATCTAGTATATTTCCTACACTAAACCAAGAGTCAGACATGTCTCCAAGGACTCTGTCTTCTTTCAGTAGTGTACAGGCATACTTCGTTTTCACTTTCCTTTCAATTGTGGTTTGCAGATATTGCATTTTCTCACAAATTGAAGGTTTGTGCCAACCTTACAAAAAGCAAGTCTATTGGTGCCATTTTTCCAACAGCATTTGTTCACGTGTGTCTCTGTCACATTTGGTAATTTTCACAATATTGCAAACTTTCTAATTATTATTATACTTACTCTGGTGATCTGTGATCAGTGATTATGACTGTAGAAAGCTCAGATGATGGTTATATTTAATGATAAAATGTTAATTAAGGTATGATATTGTTTTTTAGACATAATGCTATTGCATACTTAACAGTCTACAGTATAGTATAGTATAAACATACTTTTATATGCACTGGGAAACAAAACAACTTACTTGACTTGCTTTATTGCAGTGTTCACTTTACTGCAGTGGACTGGATCTTTGGGGTATACCTGTACTATATTTAAAGATGAGGGTTTGGGCATATTTTGATTTTAATATTATAAAGTATGAGAAATACCAGCTTCAGTGGTTGTATTTTGGTTCCTTTCCACCATAGGAACACTGCTATGTCCTCTTTCTGGAACTCTCTTTTCTCCCCTCTTCATCTACTTATCTATCCCCCATTCATCATTTATATTTCAGCTCAAACCTTACTATTCAGGAAGACTTCTACAACTTCTTGACATAATCAATTTCCCCTGCTCTCTGCTCTCTGAGAGCACAGGTCCTTCACCATACTTTGCACTCCTGAGACTTTTATTTGATATACCTGATCTCCATGTTAGGTTGTAACATCCCTGAGGGCAGGAACCATGTGGTGTTTGCTCATCATTGTGTCCTGAGTGACAGGCCGATGCCTGACATAGACTAACAATCTGCGGTGGGTTGATAGTCTTCCCCCCAAATTCATGTCCTCATGAAGCCTCATATTGTGACCTTATTTGGAAATAACAGTCTTTGCAATGTACTTAGTAAGATAGTCAGAGGGGATTATGGTGGTCCCTAAATCCAATGACTGGTGTCTCCATAAGAAGAAAAGAATAGAGACAAAGGGATTAAGGCCATATGAACATATGAAAAACCAAGGCAGAGATCTGAGTTGTGTAGCTACAGGCCAAAGACTGCTGAGGATTTCCGGGGACCACCAGAAGCTGGAAAAGGCAAGGGAGGATTTTTTCCCTAGAGCCTTTAGAGAGAGGAGGGCCTGATGCAGTCAGTCTGATTTCAGACTTCTGGCTTCTAGTACTGTGAGAGAATAACTTCTGCTATTTTAAACCACCCAGTTTCTGGTACTTTGCTACTGCAGCCCTAGGAAATTAAAACAATGGGCGTTGCATTGCAAACTGCGTTATTAGAAAGTGTGATCATTTTAAAATCAGTGTGTCATGGAATATAATTAACCTGATTAATCATATCACCACAGATCACTCAGATACAGAGGAAGTGCTTTCTCTCTTCCTTTCCCATAAAGAGGGTCCTCCACCCCATGAGTTTTACCTTTGAGAGTTCTCAAGGCTTGGCAATGGCTGATGGAGAAGGTGATTACTGTAGAGCACAGCGTAGTACGGAGACTCCTGCTTGAGAACGATTGGGGTGGATGAGCGGTCTCTTTCTGAAGAAGGGAGGGAAGGAGGCAAAATGAAAAGAAAAGGTAGAGACCATATCTCTGGTTACCAGTCTGCTCCTGTTATATTTGTCTTCTCTCTCTACGGCTATATTCACCTAGTTTCTTAGTCAAGAAAATTATATTTTTTTCCTTAAATCCTTTCTTCCGTTCATTGAACCACAACCTCTCACTCATTGTGCCATTACACAAGAACATTCCTGCTCCTCATCCATTATTCATAATACCCTAAACAGCTAAACCTTAATGTTAAGTAAATCATTCGATCAATGAAGGGTTTATTTTGTGAGTTCCATCAAGCAACTAAAACCAAAAAACCTCTTCTAATGTGCTACAAAATACAGGCCAGATATCATTTACCATAGAAATTACTCATGACAACCATAAAGTTCCATTATGATTTTAAGTTAATGCCGTACTCAGTGAGTGCAAAGTAGTGAGAATTATGTACTTCTCTTTGCTTTAAAGGGAATTCAAACTGAGGATTTTCTGGGTAAGTTGTCACCAAAGATCCCACCTCTAGATTTCTTCCTACTTTATATCATAGTTGGCTTTATAGAGAGATTAACTTCATGTGATAGAAACACTGCTCAACTGAAGTCAAAAGACCTGGACTGGAGAACTGGCTCTGCTACTTCTAAGCTTTGCAAAATTTTGCAGGCCACCTAAAGATGACTAAATGAGGAGGGAAAGGTACGTAAGGATCTGTGGGCAGTGTCTGGTATGCAGTTGGCATTTTATAAGAATGGGCATGGCATGTAATTAGATCTAGAGTGGAATGATTAGGAGTGAAGGATTGTGGACTAAATCCGAATCAGGCTCAAATTCTGAGTCTGCCACTCACAAGCTTTGAGTGTTAAACCAACTTGGGGCTCTCCCAGTCTCAGCTTCTGAAGAGTCAGTTCCTACCACACAGGGTTCTTGCAAACATTAAAAAACACAGTCTACAAAAAGAATTTAACACAATATCTGGTACCTTGAAAGTGCTCAATAAATATTTTTGTTATTATTATTATTCATATAACTTAATGTTTAGGAGGTGCTTTAGTGACTCTAAGTTTTTGGAGGTTTGAAAAACCAAAATATTGAAATAAAATATTCCAGCTACCTTGCTTTTAATTAAATTCAAGTTAATTCTAAATCACCACAGGTCAAAATCTGAACTTTAAAATTGTGATAATGATATTAGCAAAAATAAAATATAACAAAAAGGCAATATCAAAATATTTAACTACCAGAATGTATTAAATAGAAGATTCAGCCAACCCAGATTCTTTTTCTAATACTACCAACAATATGTATTTTATGGGAAGACTTAAAATAGATAAAAGCATACTCTAACATGTATTCATTTTATTATTTCTGAGGCACTGGGAAATGATCTCTCCAAAATTGTCTCCTGTTTCCTGATGTTCAATATTCAGCCATTAGAGTTAATCCTTTGACTTAAAAACATATTTCCTGTCAGGAAGACAACATACTCTCATATATGACCATCTAAGTGGAAATGAGATTATCAGATGCATTCCAAAAAGAGAGCACGGATTCATAAAAATCTTAGAAACAGAAAGTAACTATCCAAAAGGAAAAGAAAGGTAAGCAGATGCTGTAAAGACAAACTTTACTTTCTTCCCAGCTATGTCTCCAATGCTGGCAAGGGGAAAACAGAAACTTTTTATGGATAAAAATTCCTTTTATTTAAAAATAAAATCGTATGTGATCTTGCATTTTTTTATTGAGAAAAACAGATCTGATGGCAAGATTCCAAAGGCTTTAGGGTACTTTTTTTCTTTCAGATTCTGTCACTGATCCAGACACTTGTGGTATTTGCAGAAAAGAGTATGATATGGCTATAGAACATTGTCCTACCAAAAGTGTTTTTATGATATCCATTGTAGAGTTATAATTTTACTAAGGATGACACAATGAAATGACACCCTTTTAAAAATCACCTATTTTTTAGTCTTTGCTTATGCATAAAAATAATATAAAAATATGCATTAGATTGGCAGGGCTGTCTTCTGGAAGCCAAAGGCACAGCATCAAGAAAGCATAATTATGAAATCACTCAGAAACTGTTTTGTCATGTAGCATGGCAGGTAAATAATGGTTGCTCTAATGTGAGAATTATTTTAGTACCTGGTTATGCAAATGTAGTCATTTGTTCAAGTGAAGGGTAAACCCCAAGAGGTAATGGCTAATATCTATCCCTTGAACATACTCTTTATTCTCAACAAAGGAAAGTTTTTCTTTCAAGCACTTCTTTAAAAAGGGTAAAATTTCAAAATATATATATAATTATTCTTTTGCAATTCCAGTGCACTAAAGTAGAAATAAAATGTGAATATCTATACAGTCACTACTCTCTCTGATTCTGCCATGTGTCCTCTATGTGCAGGTATGTGTGCACATGTTTATGTTTATGGAGATAGACACAGAAAGAAATGTTCTTCAAAGTTTATTGCCAATATTGATTCTCAAATACTGATACAGAGATTTTACAATAGCTAATGGTGGATCTTTGTAGACGATGGACTCTTCCGAATTAAGGATTTTCCACCTTCATCTCACATAGGATCTCACTGAATCAACTGTCATACAATGAAATCTTTAAGCTATTCAAATAGGAATCATGGATGTTTATAGCCCAGTGTTGTCCAATTCAACATTTTGCAGTTCTAGCTGCTGCAACTGAAAGGAGGCCAGGCATAGCCAAGCCTTGAAAATTTTTTTAAGTTCAGTTTAAATATTTTCCTTAAACTTCAGATAAGTTTCCAAAGGTTGCCCAGTTTTTAAGAGTCTGCACATCTAACAAACAGGGAGGAAGTCTGATGAGCTCAACCCCTCACCGAGATGGAGGGCAGCAGCCTGAGAAGAGAAGCTCATGCCACTTTGGTACATTGTTTTCAGTCCCAATAGAAAGTAGGAAATGTTGGAAAGTGCAGCAATGAATATAACAGGATGGGAGAGAGTGGAAATTAGCTGAATGCCCCTGTACAAATCCGTAAAAACAGACTGGTTTGAGCTTGGGGTGTGATTTCTGGGTTATATTAGAGCTAAAATCATGAAACCAGCAAGGGACTATCCTTTGCCTCCCTGTGACATGAAGCACAGGGCAAGAATGCTTCTTGAGAATAAGTCCAACCTGACTGGTCCAAAAGCAAAAATGCAGGAGTGGGGATGGGGGTAGGGATGCATTCAAATTAGACCTAGTTCATGCAGTTGTGAGCATTCCATGAGTCTATATATGTGGATCCAGCACAATGCCTTCTTTATAGATACCCTCAATAAATGGTCACTAGTGCAGCTGTTGTGAACACTTTGCCCTGAGTGAAGGGCATCATTGTGCCACGTCTGTCATGGAGAGCAGCACTTCTTTGTTAACAACTGCACAAACCATTGGCAGTTGGGAAAATCTGTCCCTGCTATCAGAAATCTGTCCCTGCTATCAGAAATTTTTTAAATGACCTCTAAAGAAGGGAAGCAGATAGATTTGTATCTACATGCACTATACCATAAATCCTTTGAGGAATTATTATCTCTCCAGTCTCAGTGCCTGGCATAATGCATTACATATAGTATGACCTCAATAAATGTTGCCATATACAACAGTGGTTAAGAACACAAACTCTGGAGCCAGGCTGATCTCCCACTGGGTAATTTGTAACTTAATTTCTCTGTGCTTCAGTATCCTCATCTGTAAAACAGAATGATAACAGTTTCTACTTCAGGGTTATACCCTGAGGATTAAATGAATTATTCCATGCAAATTGCTCAGAATAGTGCCTACCACTTTAGGATTCTATTTATTTCCTATTATTGTGATAATGATTAGGATGGTGGCTCTCTATCCCCAACCAAGTACTAGCCATATGTTGCAGCATGAGAACATGTGTCTCTGCCACATCTCCTCATTACTGACCCTCTAAGAAACTTACATGGTTGCCCTTTTCATATCCAATAATAGACGGTGACCACGGCTACTAAGTGGAACACTTTCTACCTGATTGTAGCTTTTTCAAGAAAAAATGACGCCAAAGAAGCTACCAAATGCCTCTGCTAGTCTTCAAAAAGCAGTCTTTTCATGCTGTTTTGCAAACATCTGAAAATGATTAGAACTGTAACATTTGTGCTACCTTTAAGAAAATAACATCTCCTAAATTACTGGGTAAAGTTATCGTTTCTAGTCTACCCCTAACAGGGTTTCTTTATCCAATTAGCCTTTTTAAATATAAATAAGGTACAATAAACTTTATTCTCACTAAAAACCCATAATAATGCTTTTAACTCACCTTGATTCCTGGAATTGGCAGGAGAATAATTGTGTCGTGAAACTGACACTACAGAGAAAAAGCATTATGCTGATAAAAACAAGTAGGAATGAGTGAACAACTAAACTGCAGAAAGAAAAAAAAATGCCAGTTTCTGCCAGGAAATGAGAAGCCACAGACTGCTGCCACTGGCCTCGGTGTGAGCAGGAGCAATTCTCACCTGCAAACTGCCCTCGTGGCAGCTGAGTGATATTATGTCCACCTGTGCAGTAATTCTTCCTGCCAACAGTTTCCACAAGCAGAGTGAAACTGCGTCTAGTAGTATCATCTCCTTAGTAAACTGCTTGTGGATGAGTTACACCAAACGGAATGTGTACTGGATCCATTTATCCTGAGAACAGGACCATTCACTAATGTTTGGGTTACAGCCAGCCTGATGGTATCATTCTAAAATGCTGGGGAACGGCCATGCTCTCCCCCAAAAGGTGATATTTGTTGTTAACTTCGCCTAACACGTTTCATATAAAGTATCCCTTTTTGAAACCTTTGTTTCGTGGAATGTAAGCTGAGATTTTATAAGGAAGGAGGGTCAAAGATGGGCGAAAGAAGACCAGGAAGAGGTCCCTGCCCGGACAGCGCAGGAGGAGGATGGGCTCAGGAATCAGGGATAGGCTCAGACCACGCGAGCCTGCCATCCACACAGAGCATTACCATAAG